AAACACACATTGCCACCGTTTTGCGAAAATGTGAAAGAATGTTTCCTGTTCTTTAAAGTTTTCTCCTCTGCCTTTTTGTGTCCTTTGGACTCGGAGTACGTGCCAATAAATTTTCGCACGTTTTTATTGTAAATTTCAAAAACGTACGAAAAATGTCAAGTGCTGATAATAATGAGGTAGGTGCTTCCTTTTGGTGGGTTTGCCTTCTGCCTATAGTTCTGCTGAGTTTTTGGGAAAAAGGTTATTCTTGCGAAAGCTTGAAAAATTGTTTCAAGATTAGATGAATTCACATAAATTTTGAGATTGTTTTCTCTATAAACGTGCTTTGCATAGCATAAGAAAGTTTTAAACTTGCACTAAAAAAATTTAAATTTATAAAAGAAATGTAAAATGTTTCTGATTAGTGTATGGTTTTTGAATAAATATCCATATATTATATGACACTTTTAATATACTTGATAATATTTGCAACGGTTACGGAAGGGGTAGCGAGACGTTGGATGTTGCCATTTTTAATGTAAATGAAAAATTTTGTATTGCCAGTAAAAGGAAAATATGATTAAACTTTGGTTACGGTGACAACGTTTTCTATATATCGTTAAGTAGGTTAAACCAGTGATGACCTGTACCAAAAGAAAAATTAGAACGTTTTAAGTTACCACACGGGCAAAAGCTTTCAGTATAACATGTCTTCATACTCATAACCAGAAAGAGCGTTAGAATGAGAGTAATCTCCCTTAACTTCAAAATAATATTCAAACGATCCTCCAATTTATGAATCCCATTTCATGGCTATATTAGTTTTTCAAAAGTTATGCAACATACATCTCTACGGTAGCTATTACCACTTTAATTGCTGAAAATTATCTTCTTGAAAGAAGACAAGAGCCAGAAGTCAGAGGCAGCCAAATCTGGTAATAAATTAGTTGATGTAACAATTATAATGCTATGATTTTAACGATGGTTCTTTGAGCTCTGTGAGCAGTCACACTTTCCTGATAGAAAATTATTATTTCGTCTTGTATACCAGATTCTTTTTTTAACAAACTTTTATAACTAATTCTTTCAAACTATTGCAATAATAATCTAAGTTTATTATTTTATCAGCCTGGACACAATTTACTAAGTTTCTCTTGGATCCCAAAAAAACTGTTGCTATCACTTTCTTAAACGATTTCTGGACCTCAAGTCTACTTGAAAAGTAAGAGTAGAATTTGCATTACTTTTCAGCCTCTTAGTTAGATTTAGGATCTCTTTTATTGTGCTGAAGAGACTCAAAAAGTCATTTTTATCTTTTCCATGACATTGATTATTTTTCTAGAATTATTGTGTGAAACTAGTGCTGGAATACTTTCAATATTAAAGACAAATCAGAACTTATCTCTAAGTCAAGTTAAGTGGAGATAAGGAAAAGTCAAGTTGCAGTTTTCGTTGGGTATCTTGAATTTTATACTGATATCTAGAGACGCAAACTATATCGGAATATAGCATAATGAAATAAAATTTGTAAAAATATCTGACTGATATATCTGATAATATATTGTTAGATGGATGTACCAGGTAAAGCAGAGTTAAATATGAAAAAATTATAGTCTTAATATTATTAAAATAAATGTTATTATCTACATATAATGAAAGAATTATAGGGATTAAGACCTGATCATTTTAATAATCAATCTTATCTAAAAATTTTAACTGATATTTTAAGCAAAAAATTTAATTTATTTTAAATTAAAAAATTGTGTTATCTCATTCACACAATAAGAGCTCTTAGACCATAGAATACATTCGCTTGCATTTAAAAATCGTATGTGTTCTTTCTTGTTTACAGACGTATATTTCATATCTTCTACTATTTACTTAAAAACTTTACATTTTAATTTCCGTTTCCGGTCACTGCTACTACTCTATAACTTTATGCTGTAAATGTAGCATCACTAAAAAAGCTGTGAAATAATTGTTGTGGTCATGACTATAGAAAAACTTTTGTTTTCTTTATAAACAAAACACAGTGAAACGCCTTCAAGTATGCTTTAATTTTTTTATCTGCCTATGCACAAATACGACCATATCATTTTTAAGGTGGAAGAGCTTGTTAAAACTTGTTGTTGTCCTTGTACATATGTCCGTCTGCATGTCTGTCTATCCTGGTGTCTGCATCTCCATTTCTGTATTTGTTTAACTGTCCAATTTTATTTATTTTTGGCGCGCATTCCACATCTATCCTCTGCCTGGGGAGCATTATTATTTTTCTCAATATATGCGGACATTCAAAAAAAATAAAATATATGAAATAAAATAAATAACACTGCATAGCAGTGTATAAAATTGATATCGCACTAAATTTGCTTATTGCTGAGCCATGAGATTTAGCTTCCTTATGCGAAATATTCGCATGTATCCCTGTACATTTGTGTACCAAGTGTCCATCCATTATCCTTAAGGGTTTATTTACCAGGTTTTGTTTTTGGATTGTTTGTTATTGCTGCTGTTATTGTTTTCTCAGTATTCTTAGTGTTGTTTTTGCTTTCGTTGCTCGTTTTCTATTATTGTACTTCATGAAAACTTACTCAACTCCAAGTTGTAGCAAATTGACTTGCTTTCAGCACTTTCAGTTATGATGAAATCAAAACATATCTCTACTTTGACCAATGCAGGCTCATATGGGTGGGTTTATAAGTTATACGTTATGCAGATTAAAGACTTCAGATAATGTCCGAAGAAATTTGTATGTTGCATATGAGTAATGCGAAACTTTATTTGCTTCATACGGTAGATTTTTCAGTGTGCCTATTCATTACACGAATTCCAAAAAGAAAACAAAAAATTTTATGTTAGTATTTTAGTACTAACTTTTTTAATATTTAGGTGTAATGAACAAATTTACCTAAGTATTCAGAAGAAGGACTAAGTAACCTGTATCTTTTGTAAATCACCAACAGTTGAGTACATATTGATATACGTATGACGAACGATGATATTGCATTGATAACGATGATGTATCTTCTTCCAATAATTCACAGCCAAACTTGGTTTGTTAATTTTTACTTGATTTCTTTTTTTATTTTTCAATTAAAAATGAATTGTTTTCCTTTGTGTGTCCGCCCTAACTTCTGTTTATTTAGGACTATCATATGTAAGGTTACCAAACACATACGAACCTCTGCAATACTTGAAGAAGAGTTGTTAGGAAAAAGAAATAATAAAATTTGGAAAAAGAAAAATAATTGTGAAAAGAATAAACTAATAAAAAAAGAAAATGAGAAAAAATTAGTAATGAAATGAAAAAGAAACAAGACTTACATTTCATGCCACACCTATCGATGCACAACCAAAGAGAGTTCATTATTGCTACAACAAGCTTTTTATAATAATTATTATTATTATTTATGGAAGATAGATTATTATTACTATAGCACACTGTAACCAATAAGATCTGTCGTTGTATCCCTAAGAGAATCCCTTAACCAGAACAATTTAAAGCTGTTGACAAACCTAATAGTCTCGTTGTTTTAGATCCCAAATCTCATTCCTTATAACGAAAGTGAAATAAAAGCACTCTACTCGTCTTCTGGCAGTTTTGGCAATTACACGATACGAGTAGGTGTCATTGTCCTAAGAATCCATCTAACGTGTAACTATTAATGAAAAATAATATATCTAATACAAGTCGAAAGAAATATATCAGAGTTACACTTAAAAAAATATCCTGACTATTTTCTTTGATTCAAAAGCAATCAACTGGTCACAAAGCGTAATGCAAGACCCCAGAAAAGACAAAGAAGAACAATTCTGTCGATTTGAAAGCAATCAATATGTCAGAGTGCGGCATGCAAAACTTCTTCCTTCTGCTCAAAAAGTACCCGGATTTTGTTAACTTCTCCTTAAGTAATAGACCTTTTTCAACCTATTTTGTTATGTTGGTACACCTTTTCTTGACATATGGTACAAATTTGAGCGCAAATTATGCAAAATTCTTGTTGTACGCAATTTTTTGACCAAACACGGCACCACTGTCTTCGCTCAGGCACCATATTCGCCAGATCTGGCCCGGTGCGACTTTCTCCTGTTCCCGAAACTCAAATTGCCCCTTCGTGGTAAGCGGTTTGAGTCGATTGAATCGGTAAAAGAGTATTTGCTGAAGGAACTAAAAGCCTGCAAGGGCCTACGAAAAATGTATGGAAGCTTAGGTTAAGCGTTGGCATATTTGTATCGCTTCAGAAGGGGCATATTTTGAAGGAGATAAAATAAATTTGGAATAAAATTTAAAGTTATGTGTTTTATTTACAAAATCCTTTTTGAGCAGAAGGTATGATGAGCCAAAAGATAATAAACAAGACTCTCAAAAGAGAATAATCATGTCAATTCATCATGACAATTTTTTTTGCTTCAAAGACAATCTTCCCAACTCATCAGACAGTAAGCGCAAATATTTTCTGGAAATTCAACAACAATGATGGGCCAGATGATAAGTTCTAACAAATCATGATTTTTATTCGACGATAATGCACCATCACACTAGACTATTGTGGTAAGTACCATAGTAACTTTTGGATCAAAAGAAATTATTGCCTTCAATCATGTACTATATCCGTGTGACTTATGACGAATTCTCTAAACTGAAATTGATATGAAATGAAATGACAATGATATCATCCCAGTCATCCATAAGGCTGTCAGCAGTGTGCGTAAACCAATTCCATCCGATGAATATAAAAAATGTTTCTAAAAATTCGTTGAGCATTGCCAGTACTGCAATAATTCGGAAAGAGACTATTTTGAATAAATAAGAATAAAAAATAAAAATAATAAATGCTTTGTATCACAACAAATTTAATTCCATAAATAGTTACAGTAGATTTTCTTATAAGACGATTTTTATAATTTTAGATTTTATAATTTATTTTTCAATTAAATTAAATTTAAAACACAAATTTAAATATACTCGTATAACAAAAGCTAACAAAAATATAATTTAAATTCTCTATCACTATCGCTAACTAACCACCAACATTGCAAGGATAAAACTGTGGCGGACATGAATTTGGTGGTCTTATAGGCAGTGGTGGTGCTGCAGCTGGTCCAGTACCAGGCATAACTGGGCCAACACCGTACGCAGGTGAAACTTGTGCTGGGCCTGTTGGTATATAATTATTTGTAACAAATTGTGGATAGCCTGTAGCTGGTGTTTGTGGTGGAGGCGGAGGTGGTAGAGGTGGTATTGATCCTTGCACTGGTGCATTTGTTTGTTGATATGCAATATAACCTGGTGGTTGATCAGGGCCATTTTGATATATAATCACATTGCTATGTTGCTGTGCTTGACCTTGCTGTTGTTGCTGTTGCTGCTGCTGTTGTGGTGTTAAATATGGATTTTGACCTGTGTATGAATTGGTGGGTTGATAGTAGTTTGTTGGTCCATATGGTGCAGGACGATATGGAGGAGTAGGATTGCAACCATAAATGGGACAGGTATAATAACCATAGGGCGGATATGGATCATTGTAGCCTAACCAACGACGTCGAATACGTCTTATAATTGCACCAAAGAAAAATAAGGATTTGCCATTTGGTGTTGGAGATTCATCATCATCCATTTCTGTAGACTGCGACGAATTTTGCATTATCAGACTAAGCATTAAAATAATTAACTAAATAAAATACTTTTATGAATAAGTAAAATATTACAATTATATTCGATGCCACTTACCAATATATATTTCATTTTCAAGAAAAGTCGGGAAGGAAAATTACGATTTAAAAAATTTAAAAGTTAACAATTTATGATTGCTGTTGTTTTTGGTTTGACTGTTTAAGATTGAATGAATCCATTTGGTTCACAAAATTAAAAAGCTTACAATTTTTTATTACATTTGGTGCGAACGCTTAAATGATGCTTGAAGATATGTAGTGGAAGGCTCATTAAAGACATTTTGTAATCTTTTAAAGCAAAGTAACATATTTCAAAATATAAATTTTCATTTTTTATAATAAAGTATTTTTTAAAAAATCAAAGAAAAATGCCATTAAATTTTTTTATAACTTAGTATTTTAAAATATTTCGTCTTATTAATAATTGTCCAATATAGCAAAAAATATAGTTATAATGCCACAAATGCAATTTCTAAATAATATGTTTTATTGAATTATTGATAATAAACTTTAAAAACAACATTGTATACATGCATACGTATACTATATATATAAATTAGATGTATATATAGAAAAATTTGAAATTATATAAGTGGATTTGCTAATTAATATTAAAAAAACGTTTACATTATTAAAAAATTTTATTAAAAAGATAGGTGGGCTCAACCGGGATTTGAACCCGGGACCTCTCGCACCCAAAGCGAGAATCATACCCCTAGACCATTGAGCCGCTTGAGCTATTCGTGCCAAAATATATTTTTCCAAAAGATTTAAAAATAAAATCTATATATTCATTAAAATTTTAAATAAAAAGAAGAAACATAAATAATATTAAGCATTTATACATTAATATATGATTCAAGCCTATATATAGATATATATATTAATAATGAAGTATTCTAATTGAAAATAGTCTATGGCCAACTAAGATAGTTCGTATGGTGTTTACCTTTAACATAATTTCTATTCCATCTGCAAATGAGATACATTTAGACTAGCAATAACATATTTTTACAAAAAGAAATCATATGGGACTTTAATTAACATATTTCTATTGGTTGCTTGACCCTAATTCACAATTTTCTTTATAAAACAAACTTTTCATCCATAAAACCGTTATTAAACCGATATGAACGAACTGTATAGAATTGTGGGAATTTACTTCAAAGTCCAATGAAGAAAAAATGCAGTGCTTCCAATCAAAAATGCTCTGTATAATACCGAAGCATCATGGAATGTCACAAACGATACCTTACTCCAGGCCCTGAAAAATTAATATTATATAAGAAGAAATTTATCAACAGGCATAATGATCTTTATAGTCACCCCAACGTTCTAGTTCAGACACTTTCTAATCCATTGCAGAAGCACCGTCGACTAATAAGTTTCCTACAAGCGGGAGTAAATTAAGAAAACAAAATTCTAGACTTATACAATCTTTTGAAACAATAGAGGTGTTGCACTAGCTGTTTCCCCTACTAGCAAAAAACATTAACAGAATAAAAACATGTATATTTTTTTAAAAAAAAAGAGAGATCAATATTTCTTAAATAGATACTCAAAAAAATAGACGAAAAAAAATTGTATGTTTCCCAACTTATAACAAATAATTTTAAATATTCCTAATTTGTATTTTCTATTATTCATAGTACCGCAAAGATATCGGTATATTGTATTAAAATATCTTTCGCACAATAAGGACATTAGTACCTTATTGCAAGAAAAGCATTCCGCCTTTCAAATAAAGACCAAAATTTGTCTCATTAAATAGCTTCGGATTGAAAATATGCACAACTATACTACTATACTTGTATTATTATATTAAATTTAATTCAGAGAAGACCCGATCATCTTAGTTCGAGTGGTATTCTTTCGAAATAAAAATTGCAATCCCGAGATAGTAGAGTTGTGTCGAATTATTTTAACATGATGACAATTCGTCTCATTAAATTGATATAACAAATCTTTTATATTTTTTTTCGTGCAGAGATACTCCAGAATTAACAAATTATCCTTACGTGCGTATTAAGCAACATTTAAATTTTAAAGTTAAGTCAAGTTTGAAACTATCGAATTCTATAAAATAATGCAAAATTTAATCATATTACTTTAACATTACTGATATAAATATATGTTATATTATCTATATCAAATATACATGTATATTTATATAAATAATAAATTTACAATTTTAAACGACCTTAAACATTATTGAATGGAATAATCAATCACTATAAAGATTAATTGTGACTATTGAAATGTAAATTATATATATATGTTATACAATATATATATGTTATATAATATATATATGTTATATAATATATATATGTTATATAATATATATATGTTGTATTTTAGATTTGTTACATGTAGTATATATAAAGCAATAATATATTAAAAGCATGGAAATAATTATTTATTTAAATTAACTTTATTTAATAATATCGGACGGCTAACATAAAAATATTTTCTGTCACGCAGTAACAAAAGGGGATGTAGCTCAGATGGTAGAGCGCTCGCTTAGCATGTGAGAGGTACGGGGATCAATGCCCCGCATCTCCAATGTGTGTTTTTTTATTTATTAAAAATGGTTACTTGGTTTTTTTTTTTGTATCAAAAATTAATTCGATAGATATAAAAATTATTATACAAAAAACACATTGAAGATATTTTACATAAGAGTTAAAGCTAAGCATTAGTTTTTTTTATATAAATATTCTTTTTTTTTTTAATTTATCTATATAATATATTACATATGTATAAAAGTTTTCAATCGATCACAATATGAGCTGAAAAGGTTTAAGTACAGGAATCCTCTACTACTTTATATTTAATTACTGTAAACTATATTCGTTTTTACTTCAAATAAATAAAGTCTTTTATTTTGGTTTATCTGTATTTTAGACAAATAAATAAATATTTTTATATATTATTTCTTTAGAATTACCGTGTACTTTTTGTATAGCTAAAATCATACCATACTTATCTAGAATGATCTGCGTACATATATTGTTCCTATAACAATTTTCTATCGCAAAGTTGTAGTGTTGTAGTGATGTAGTGTTTTATCTTTGTTATTCAGTGCAAATAGTCTTTTATCATTACATCAACTTTTTTGTTGCATTTTTAAATTGTTTAATAAAATTTTATTAAATTAAACTTAATAAATTGGTTTCGAAAAATAATTTTTTTCGAAATTAATTTTTACTTTCAAAAAAAAGCAGCGACGCATATTTTTGGAACTTTTATGCCAACCTTGGAGTCCTATCCATATTTTATTAGTGAGAGTTGTTTTGTTGATAATCTAATTTATTTTGTCACAGTCCATATAAAGAAATATATTTTAATTATTATAGAACATATTTATAGGCAAATAAATTTAAATAAGTAATTTTTTATTTTTAATGGTCATTTTATTGTAACTAAAATATATAATTTGCCTCTCAACCGTCATGAGGCTCAATGGTCTAGGGGTATGATTCTCGCTTTGGGTGCGAGAGGTCCCGGGTTCAAATCCCGGTTGAGCCCATTGTTTTTTATATTTTTCCAAATTTATTTTAGTATATATATAACATCAGTACTATTATTATATTATCTATTAATTTTATTAAGCAATCTGAAATTAATTACTTGCTTTGGGCGACTTCGCAAATACGTACTTGTTTTAATATAATATTGAAATACCAATTTTAAAAATCATTCCATTTTATCAATTACTTTTTAATAATAATATATTAATTTAAAATTGTATATACTTACTATACAATAATATATATTTATTTATTATACAGAATATTGTACAGAATTTGACAGTAAATATATGTAACTATAATAAGAGTTAGAATGTATCCTGGAGCTAGGGAACTTGAAAATTTAATGGAATGAAGCAACATAATAATTCAACTCGAATTTGTGTACGTTAAAGGATAACTGAATATAAATAAATCCAATGTATATTTTTTTTTGCGGTGAGGGTGTAATATACATATGCATCATCAGACCGACCTTTGTCGTAATGGTGTGTTCACCTCCCTAACATTAATATGTAGTATACACGCTCTTCGGCGAGACTTATTCCTTCTCGGAACTGCTTTCGCATTACTTCGAGGAGGGTTTGTTTTATGTTGGCCCCTCAAGTCATGCTCTTTTAACTTTCAATTTACGTCCAGACCTACACACATACAACGCTGTTTGGTCAGCCAAAATTCAATAAATTAAATTAATTTTTGTCCTTGTCATTTTTTTGCCAGAAAAAAAAAATCCGTCAATCCGTCAAAAAAAAATTTTAATTTATAAAAAAAATGATTGATTTCATTTCAAATGGGTTACATCTTTTAAAAGAAATGAGAGGTACATATTGGTGAACTACATACATTAACAGATTTAAATATTCTGTATCAATATAATTGTACTTTCATATAAATTGCTTTTGTAATTTTTTTAAAACAATTAAAATTATTATAATTTTAAATGTTGAAGAAAAAAATGTTAGATACTCTTGAAGATGTTGGCTGATATCAACGAATTTTAATTTGTAATTTTAATTAAGACCGTAATAGCCTAAAATAAGTATAGAATAAATAAATAGTTATAATTAATTCGAAAAAAAAACCTTTGTAATAAACAAAAAAATATAAAAAATATGATTTGGAGATGCGGGGCATCGATCCCCGTACCTCTCACATGCTAAGCGAGCGCTCTACCATCTGAGCTACATCCCCATTTGGCTACACGTTGTCAAAGTTTCTACTTATTGTTTTTTTAGTATAAAAACGCTCATTTAGAAAATTTTTTGAATTTTATTACAAATTTAATTAATATAATACTTTTTTAATGAACATAATAAATTTTATAAAAACATAATAAATATCAACAACAATTAACAATCAAAAATTAATATGCTTCTCAACCATAAAAACCACCGCCATAACCGTAGCCTGGAAAACCACCACCGAAGCCTGGATATCCACCGCCGATGCCAGGATATCCACCTCCAATGCCGGGATAACCACCAAAACCGCCATAGCTAGGCACAGGTACTGGGTATGGATATGAAGTGGGATAACGATTGCCGCCAGTTAAACCACTTAACAAGTTACCAAACAAGCCACCACCACTGCCGCCGCCAAGTAAGCCAAAAATGCGGTTATTCGGATTTTGTGACTGTAAGCCAGCGTGATTGTTGATAGGATATTGTGCATTCTGGCCGCCATATTGGTAGGGTGCAGCATATCCCGAGTAGGATTGTAGGCCAGTGCCTTGATGCTGCTGTGCAATCGACATACCAGCGCACAAACAGATTAAAAGTGATTTCAGCAACTGTAATAAATATTGAGAATTATTAAAGATATTTATTTAAATATTTAAAAATTAATTAATTAATTTTTTCATTACTTACAAAGGATGCCATTTCAAAGGGTTTTGATCCTTAAATTTGATTTTGTGTTCGTCTGATTTAATTGCTGAACTAATTCGTGTGATTAGTTGTTTAAAGTGTTCTGATTTTCTGTTTTTTGAGTTATTGAAACTTAGTTTATATACTAAAAGTCTTCATTAGTGATTGACACCTACGCAAATTAAGAACAGATGATTTCTTCTGTCTAAACGAAGATATACGGAAGCATTGCTAAAATTGCTTTATAGAATTAGGCAAATTTTGAATGTACCATTTTTGTTACCAACTCTGATGTTCCACTGACCTTAAACTTTGTTTTGAACTTGTTTTTTGTTTTCCCACGAAAACTGGTACGAAATTTTGGCAATTTTAGTTTTGAAATATTTTTGCATAAATTTTATATAAAATCAATTTAAAAGAAATATAAACAAATTTATCAAAAAATATTATGACACACGCTAACATTTTTATTGTAGATTTGTTACGAAATTTTAATTATATTGTATACATTTTCATTATATATTCAAATACTAACGTGTACAACATGTAGACTTTATATTAGTTTTTATTAATAAAAAAAATATAAGTTTGCTTTTATGTTTATTTATAAATAAACATTTATATATTTTTATTAATAAATAAATAATATGTAACACGTTTTGTTATTGTTATGAAAATTATTTAGAATGTCGTTCAGTGAACTCTATTCCGTTTGCAATGTTTTGGGAAAGCAGGAAATCATCTGAGTTATGTCCAATTTTCATATTCTCTCTTTTTTACTATAAATAACTGACAATTTTTCTAAGAATATTTAGTTCTTAATTTTATCTTTCACTAAAAAAAACCCCCATTATCAAAATGATATCACTTGTAAGTAAACAAACAAAGTTCTATTTTCTCAGTTTACTTCTTCTTATATTTTAGATTCACTTCAATTTGAATTTCTTACTGATTTGTCTATTGCTGCTCCTAACACCCTGTTTGGGTTTCAAAAAATTCCTTGGTGGTGGCTACGGTGGTGGTCCGATTATAAATACTGTACCCGTTGGTTATCCTGTACCAATTCCAATACATGAACATCATACAGTTCCTTTGCCAGTACCTGTTGTAGTACAACAGCCTGTACCTGTCTACTCTGGTTGGCCGAGTTATGGTGGTTGGGAAGGTTATGGCGGAGGATTTGAAAAATATTCTTCAATCAGTGCTGGCTTTAGTGGCGGTTATGGAGGTGGATTTGGTCACGGTTTAGAAGGTGGATTTGGACATGGTTTAGGCGGTGGATTTGGGGGATTCGGTGGTAAACATGGATTTGGAGGTGGATTTTTCAAACGCTAAAATTAATATAGCATATAACTTGTAATTTAAAAAAATAAATTATTTATTTTATTTCAAAAACATTTTTTTTTGCAATTTATTATTTAATAGTTATTTATTAACTTATTCATTTTAACTTTAATGTGATCATTATAGTTTTGAATAATTTGTATTTAAAATGTGTTTCGGTTTATCATGTGAAATACGAAATAATTGTTAATTAATGAATTTATTATTTGTAGGAATGTCTTTGGGATCTTTCACAAATTTTGAATTCGGTGTAAATGTAAATTGGTATAATTGTGAGATATAAATGTGACGATTTAAAAGGATTTATGTAGTTAATAATAACAAAATATAAAATAAAATAATAATACATGATAAGATATTTTTAAATAACATGTAAATTTTAATAAAAAATTTGTTTAAATTTGTTGAACTCTAGAAATACGTTCTTTAATTATAATCTTCTCACTATCATTGGTTCCATTGCTGCAGATTACAATCGAATTTGGGTTGGTAGATGTTATGTAGAATTCATTTATAATATGGGTTTTGTAAAAGAAAATAATTTCAAATATAAATTATAATTAAGTTCAAAATAATTTAAATAGCTGTTTTAATAATAATATAATGAATTTAATTTGGTCTAAATTTTATTAAACTTAATTTATTACTACAGCAGATACTCCATATTATTTAAAGCAATATTTATAATAATATATAAATTATATATGATTAAAATTCTATAAAAGTAATATTTACTTTTTCAACTACTTAAATAAATAAAATAAGTATACAAATAAATATTAAATAAACATTTTGCTGCCTTACCGACACGAACATTTTGTATGGAGAGCTTTTTAATGAAAGCTTTTACATACGTACTATGGAATAAATCATATATGAGTAATGAAAACTAAATATTTTACTTGACTTTATATTGCAATTATTTAGGTCGTGTGCGAGTTAGGCTAAGTTGATGCTAAACCAAATGGGAGATTTTTTGGGATTTTTTGCACTGCACACATTTTGCCATTTATCAACACGTATCGACACATCAATACATTATCGACACAACTTAGAATTTCCCTCATTTAGAACGCAACTTAGCCTAACTCGCACACGACCTTAATATATTTTTACATTTAATAAAATTTTTACTGTATTTTTATGTCTGTATTTTATATGCTTAAGGATTTTATACATATTTAAAGCTCCAATAAGTTGTATGTATTAAAGTTTATAATAATAAAATATAGCTTTAATATTCTAAATAAAATTTAAAACTTGATTTAATTATATATAATAAAGTTTTTTTTAGCGTGTTAGTAGAATTTATATTACAATTTTGTATAGTAATCAATATCAGTTAAATAACTGAGTTTTACTACTTCTATACATTTTATTTTAATAATTTTTTTATCTTAATTCATTTCTTATTTTATATATCTTTACATCATTTTATCTAACATAAACTATTTTGTGGATTAATTTATTTGACAACCGATTTTTAGAAACTATTATTTCATTTATTACTTTTTGATATCATATTGGCCCAAAAGTTTATGTTCAACATTATTTCTGTATAATGCTTATATATCTAATAAAGTAATATGAAAGTAATATATGAAGTCTTAATTGATAATAAATGTGATATAAATTTTATTTGGGATAATATCATAGCTGCTTGTTGAATATACCGTAACTATGATAGTTACATTTGTTGACAAAAATTTATGTAATTTAGATTTAATAAATGATACTATTGATAATAGATCTATGTTGGGTAATAAATATATCATGTTAATCAACATGGGTAAAATATTTTAATATATTATCTCTTCCTTCTAATATTGATTGAATAATATTTTCGCTTCATTTCTTACTCTATATAGTTGTTATATTATTTCTATATACCTTGTGATCAAAAAAGATCGAGAATTTTAATTTTTTGAATTCCCGCGCTTATCCAATCGGTAAATTTTCGGTAAATTTTGTTAAAGTTTAACGCATATCGTACGATTAGTTTTTGTTTGGCGTCTATACAAAGAAGTCGAAAAATTTACACGTTGCGATTTTTAGCTGAATTGCATTCAAAAAAAAGCGTCGTTGTGATGTGGCCAAAGAGATGATTTCAAACGCAGACAGGTGACCCCACATTCATCGAACGCATCATAACTGGTGATGAGACATGGGTCTATGAATTTGACATGCCCACCAAACAACAATCGACCGAATGATGCTTCGCATGTGAGCCGAAACCGAAAAGAGAACGCCAAAGTCGGTCCAAAATCAAGGTTATGCTGACTGTTTCCTTCGATAATCGTGGTGTGGTGCTGGTGCACTATGAATTCCTTCCGGACGGTCAAACGGTCAATAAGGAGTATTATTTTGTTGTTATGCGTCGTGACGCCATTCGCAAAAAGAGGTCAGATTTATGGAAAGAAAACTCATGGATTTTACACCGCGATAACACACTGGCTCACACAGCGTCGGTTGTGTCGCAGTTTTTGGCTAAAAACTCCACCAATATCATCAACCATGCACCGTACTCTCCAGATATGGCCCCGTGTGACTTTTCCCTCTTCCCCCGACTCAAATTGCCATTACGAGGAGTGCGTTTTGAGACCATAGAGGCCATAAAAGAGAATTTGCTGCGTGAACTAAAGGTCATACCTTCGGCGGCCTATAAAATTTATATGGAAAATTGGATCAAGCGTTGGCATGCAGGTATTACGGCAGGAGAAGACTACTTTGAAGGCGATAATAAAGAAAATGATTAAAATCAAAATTTTGCGTTTTTTGTATAATAACTGTAAAAGTAGTTTTCGCAATTCAACTTTTATCTTTAAGTTAGATTATTTTATCCAACTCTTACGTTATCTAACTCAACTCTGAATTAACTTTCATCTCTTGATTTTTCTTCACTTAAAACTCACAATTTCTTTATAAACAAAGGTACTGAGACAAAGGTAAATCTATAAGCCAGTTCATAAACAGCACCAGAATTAATAGCTTAGATTTTTCTTTATCCTTAATGTTACATGATTTTTTTTCTAACAAATATACTGCGACAAAAGTAAGTCTCATAGATCAGTTCAGTAACAACACCAAATACTGTATCACTAGAACTGATACCTAAGTGATCGCCTTTGACATTTTATTATTCTAAATTTCATCATGTTTTTTTACAAACAGAGGTATTGAGACAAAGGTAGATCTCATAGGCCAATTTATAACAACAGTAAACCATTACCGTCGGTAGATATACCTCGGTTTTAAATTTTGTTTACTCTTATGGTGTTAATTTTATTTATTAATAAAATTACTATGACAAAGGTAGGTCACATAGCCTCAGGGTGTACAACTTTGTAAACATATATTTTAGATACACAAACATATAAATATTTTACAATTTTGTCAAATATTAATAATATTAATAAAAGTAATAAATAGTGTCAGCTGTTTTAGTGTCGTTGTACTGAAAAAATTACCTATGTTAATAAAAAGTACACGGTATATGTATAATGTTCATTACACCATGTTTCCACTGCTCACTTAGTAAGTTACTTAAGTAACTTTAACATTTAGTCCATTAGCATAAGTTGCTTAATGGTAATTTTAATTTTTTATTGTAATTTTTAATTTTTTTTATAATTAAAAAGCATGGAAGCTCTTTGAACGGTTAATGAAATTTAGTTAGTAAGTTAGATTTACTAAGTAAGTAGTGGAGACATACTATTAGTTTGATAATTATATTCATACATTATGTATTAACCTTATATCTTGCAATAATCTTATGGCACAAGAAAACGGAACACTATTGACTTATATAGTTTTTTTTATATAAGATGTTAAAATGGAACATTTTATTACCGATTTAACTACCTAAATTTTCGGGTTGCATAAATTAAACAGCAATTATATGATAAAGTAAACTACATTCGTTATATTATTTTGGTATTTTATTGAGTTTTAAAAACAATTACTTTGTCTCTCAATTTATATCTCATACATATATTATTATTTTTTACAGTATATGGCAAGTGACTTAAAATTAACGAACAAATTTAAAAACAGCTCTGATGACGCAATGATGAAGAACAGATTTCAATGCAATTAAATAAATTATGATAAAATTCACTAACTCTAATGTGACAGGTTATTTGCCTAACCAACCGCCACCGAATCCACCGCCATAGCTGCCACCACTATGATGGCTTTCATGGTATTCATGATGTTCATATCCACTGCTATGAAATCCACCATGTCCACCGCCAAAACCATGACCTAGGCCATGTTTCAAACCCAAAAACTTAGGAGTACGCACTTTTAAGCCTATAAAGCCGAAATGTGGACGCTTGAAGGCAACAAGCTTCAGTTTAGAACCAACAACAGCTCCGATCAACAATAACAACAACGCACAATATTTCTGCAAGTAACACAAGGTAAGATAATGTAATTTGATATTATTTTTATAAAATGTTGCTTTTCAAATTTCTGCAAACTCACAGTTATATTCATATTACAAAATTCGAATAGATATTTATGGTAGAAATAATCAATCACTTGTAACTATTTTAGATGTCTTGTATTTTCTCTCTTCAAGTACACAGTCGTAACAATTGATTTCTTCACCGTCGACGTTTCGCTCCGTCAGATTTACAAGTTCAATTAAACCAGGTTCAAAGCTGTGTCGCACTTTTATGTTTTTGTATGGGCCCTTATGCAATTTCGGTTAAATGATTAAAGTAGGTTTTGTAGCCCTATGTTTCTAAATGGTATATTAGGTTTGAAGTATTATTTATATAATATTAAGATAAATGTAAATAAATAAGCGAAGTGGAGAATCTATCTTTTGCTTCTCAGGTTGGATTCCGACGTCTTTGAATCATAGCTGGTGTTCTACTTTAAAGTGATATGTTTATTTATACATGTGGTATGAATCTGTTTCTTCATCTTAGCTTCTTTCTGTTATGTTGAGATATTTCTGTAGCGATATTTACAGATCGTTGCAT